GGTCCTGGATAGCCCTGAGAATTTCGAAGCTGCGTTCCACCTGGAACTCAGGCCTCTGCCCCTTAGGAGCCCCTCTACTCACCCATTCATTTTGGGATTGGCCCTTTCGAACCATCCCCCTCACTATTAAGGGAAGGGAGCTATGTCAGAACACCAGGGACAGGGCCCTTATGATTTTGCTCCCATGTAGACTTGAAAAGGAGAGCAAGACACCGACAGGCAAACAAGCAAAAGCCAGTTCAGAGCCTCAGACATGAGACTAGTGTGGATCAGAGCAGAAGGGCAGTAGGGGGAGAACGACATGTGTGTAAAGGGGCTTAGCCTTTGCGAGATGATGACACAACAGGCAGCGGGTGCTGAGCACCCCACACAGGTATGGATGTCGGAGTAGAAGGCAGAGTAGTGCCCCTAACATGTGGGTAAGGGTGTTAAATCACGCATCCCTGCTAGGTTTCATTGAGTCAAATGGACAGACCGAGGTAGGTTTGGAGGTGCCAAACCCTAGTCTGGCATTCTTGTGATGACAGATTTCTGGACACCCTGGAACGCTGTTTGGATTCGGTGGGATTATTTTCCATCCTGTCACAGAGTTGCCTAGCAAAGACCATTGGAGTCACCTAGTGCCATTTGAAAAGGAGCAGCAGTCTCGGTGCCTCAGTGTTTCCTGCGACCATGTCCATCACCTTTCTTCTGTGTTTTGAATGCCAGAAGTATTCCAAAGGAGATGTTGGCTCATTGAGAGGTGGAAGAGGGAAAGGGTAATCCATTCTGGAACAGGGGAGTGAAAAGTAGGGAAATGAAAAGAGGGCTATGACACTGCTGACAGAGGGACACCTGGTCTCTTTCTCAATAGCTTTCCAAAAGTTCAACCTTGGGGAAGAATGAACAACCTTGTTTAGAATAAAGGGTACGTGGGAGCCATTTGTTCAGTTTGCCTTGGGCTAAATAAGGTCTCCCAGGGATCCAGGCAGATGCCAACTTTTTCATATTCCTGCTCTGTCCAGGGGATTCTCTCTGACTGAAAGTCTATCCTCATTGCTGCCCAGAAACAACCCGGATTCCTTAAGGGACAGTACAGGATGGGAGGTATTCCCTGAGTCAAACCCTCCAAAATGGATCATTGGGCCAATTCTTTTCAATGAGAAGCGGGTAGAGGGAGGGAGAAAGGTGCCAGAGAATCAGCTCGTGGCTGCTGGGTGTTGCAAAGTCTCTGGGCCCACTGCCGACTTGTCTGGAATCCTCAAATGTTAAGGCCAGCCACTATGTTAACAGAACTTTGAAATGCCAGTAGGAATAATCCTGCAAATTGAAGTCACCCTCAAGAGAGCACATATTATTGTAAACCGTCAGATAATCCAATCCCGGCCTTGCTTTCTCCCATCTCCATATCATCTTCCATAAGTCCCCTCCTGATTCTAAATGCATAAAAGAAACCACAAATTGTTATTCTTGGGAACATTTTTGATCTTGCTCCTTGGCATATGTCCTCATGTGGCTCAAAGAAACTTAAAAGTATTATTTACAGGTTTATTTACAGGTTTCTTATGCCGCGGTCCAGCCACGACAGGATCCAGGGGGCCCCGAAGGTGGGCAAGGCGTCGGCGCTGGAGACAGTCGACTACACAGCTCAGAGGCGGTGTGACACTGTTCCATTTTATTGTGATTTGAGTACAACTTTTATACTTTTTATTTTGACATTTGATTATACTTTGTTGTTAAGGTAGCAGGGAGTTAAATTTCTGTGGTTAGGCGGAGCAGAAAATCTTATAGAGTATATTATTATTAATGTTCATGATTAACTAGTACATTTTTCTCACAATCATTAGAACAGAACTACCTGATGGAACAATCTAAACTTTTAATTCTTATATCTATTACGTAAGATACAGTTTGATTTAAGTAAAGGAGGTAGATAGATGTATTCATAACAGCAAGCATTGGCTTGTGGGCAGACATTGTTCTTCTTTCTGCCTGAAGAAATCTTTTAAATGCTATTTGATTTATGCTATATCTAAAGTTCAAGCTGAACCGTTCTCATAGCTGTTCAAAAGTTTCCTTGGTGCAGTAATGAGGAAAATATTTATAAAAATCAGTTTCACAAAGCTGCTTTCATAAGCTAAGTTTCTGTTCCTTTGTTTTTAAGCACCAAGGAGATCGTGACCTAGCCAGCCTTTCTATGAAACTTAAACTACTATAAGGCACATGAATTCTATCTTTATTCACTACATGTATACTATCGTTATTATAAGCTTCTGAATAAGGCAAAGGAAGATCAGGTAATCTTTTCATACTATTAGCCCCCCTAGGTGGATACCAGAGTTTTCTATTTATCCACTAGGCCACAAAAGGAGGCCCTTCTATAGTAGGCACAGGCTTATGAGTAAATTTCTTATCCTTTACTAATTTTTCTACTAACTGTGTGGGAACAGGAGTATAAACTGGTTCTAGTAATTCAGCTTGTTATAATTTATTCATAATATCTTTAAGAGGCGCGTCAAAAGGAATTTCCCTTAATAATTGTTCAAATAAAGGGTTTACGCATTTTGGACACGTCAGGGTGACTAGAGCTGATTCCATACGCGGGGAATTTACTATGTTTTCCTCAGAGCCAATTTTGAGGAAATCCATTTGTATAGCGTTTACACTTACTAGAATTTGTGCTACCCAAATTCCCCCTATTAATAGGATCATTTCTAAGAAACCAATTACCCCTAAACACATGCCACGTCCTCGTTCTTGACGATGCATTCCTTGAAGCCTCTGTCCCCATCTCCGGACCTTGTCACGCAGTAGGGTAGAAAGAGGACGCGGCATTCTTATGTTGACACTCTTTACCATTAAATATTAGTCTTTAAGCTTCTGTGTTATATGATTCTTAATTGTTACTATCTCTTGTTTCCACTGCTATATTATTTTCAAGAGGAGGCATTTTCTGTTAGTTATTTCTTTCTTTTGAACTGTGGTGTTATGGCATTTGTTAATCTAAAAATAAAAGGACAAAATGAGTGGCAACAAATGGTTGAGATCCAAAAGAATAGCCATTTTAGAAGCAATGATTCAGGCAGAAACCAAAATAGTGGGTTACGAGTGTCAGCTGGTGGTTGTTAGTACCAATTCAGTGCCAACAGAAATCCCCAATTTAGGGTGCAGTGAAGAAGGAAACTTTACTCAATGCAAACAGCTCAATTGTGATACAGCATGGTTTTGAGAATAGCATGGCTTTGTAACAGCTCAGTTATGAAACAGAATGGCTGCGGAGGGGCCCTGGGGCGAGGTCCTTCTCCTCCTAGACTAGTTTGTTCCAGTCTGCTCTACTCCACTCTGACTAGACCTCTTCATTGTTTCAGCTGCATCTGGGGAAATGCATTCTTCAGCCTTCAATGGAAAGGGAAAGTGTGGTCCCTGAGCAAGAGGGGAGCTGACTTACACAGATAGAAGTCCTTGCCCTTGGTCCCTGATGCAAATAAGAACTCCAAATCCTTGCAGTGTGATTGGTCCAAAAAGCACCGTCTTGATTGGTCAGAACGGCGCTGCTCAGATTGGTCAGTAAAGATGCTGTTCGGGATATAGATGTGCAGCTCTGATTGGATAGGGAATGTATCAGTCCTATTGGTTAGAATAGGATTCCAGGAATTCCTTTTTAAGGATTGGCTCAGATGGCAGGAACACAAGAAATTCAGTTTATATGTCATTCTTTAGCTCCTGTGAGTTATAGTTTAACATACTTTTTTTTTTAACCCATTTACTTTGATACGGACCTACAGTGAGAAAGGGGAAGGTGAAGAGTTTGTAGAGTGAAAAGGTAAAGCAATGCAGAGTGAAAGGCCTGCTGGCAGTTTTCAGCCTTTAATCTATAGGTTCCCCATGGTTTTAGCCATAGGGAATGATTCTTGGTACCTGTTTCCCCTTCACAGGTGTGGGGGATGGGTGGTTAGCAATTCCAGTAGAAATCTTCCTTTGTTCTGAAGGTGTCCTCCTGGCCTGGCTGCAGGACTGGTCAGCATACTGCAGTATCTGATTGTGGCTTGACATTTTTAATTCTCTTGCCTCCTCCCTACATTATTCTTACTCTTTGCTCTGTTTGTGGAGTGTTACCCCTTTTTTAAAATAAAATTTCATTTTGACTCTAACTTTGGCATGTGTATTGAATTCTTTCTATACCCTCTGCCAAAGGACCCTCTTCTCTCAGTGCAGGGATTGGTCTCACTGCCCCTCCACCCACCACGTGGGAATTTGTTCTGTCCTGCATCATTACAAGGTATCCTTTTTCTCAGAGTACACAGGTGGTAAAGGCAAGGAGTATTTATGAGAAAGGGAAGAGGAATAATTACATGAATAAAAGGACTGCGTTTCTATAGGTGCAGATTAGCTAACATAGTGATATTAATTCCAAAGAATGTGTTTGATTATCAGTCTGGTAGCCATGTCTTTCTTGTTATCTTTGCAAACAATTATTTGAGGATACACTGCTGCTTTAGGCCCAGTCCAAAGGGTACTTTGCCCAGTTTTAATATTACAAAGGTTTGAGGAGTAAGACCTACAAGGCAGTTCCCCTGGGATGGCAGCTCAAACTCCGCTTTAAAGTGCCTCTGTTTAGATTATTTTTTACACCTTTAAAACGATAAACAACTATTTGCTGTTTGATTGATTCGGCCCAAAGAATCCCATTGCTAATCATCAATGGTTTTATTGAAATATTTGATTTTTATTCCTCACCTTTTCACTAGCTCTTTTTAGCAATGGGACCAAAAGTGGGGATTAAAAGAGCAATGAAACAAAACACGAACCTCCAAAATGGTTCTCACTATGTCATTTCTGCGTGCCTAACATCAGGGCCAGCAGCCCAGCAGGCAGCCAATCAACTACCAGGCCGCAAACTCCAGCTGGCCAAGCTACAGGCAGTGAGGCGCCTTTCCATTCGGTTTCCGTTCCCGCCCCTCAACCCCAGTTGCGTCCCCTTTCAGAGGGGCGGGGTCAAGGAAGTGCGCATGCGCACAGCATTCTTTTCGCCTTTCACCTCCTTCCAACGTCTGGACTTAAATCCGGTATCGCTTTGAAGGCGGGGCTGGGGCCTGTTGAGGATGGGAGGTACCTGCCAGCCGGAGGTGCAGGATTGTACCATCTAGACTGCTGGGCTCCGTGGTGATCATGGAGGAGCCCTCGGCGGAGGGGCTTGATGAGGAGGAGCTGCTGGTGAGAAGGCATCGCAAAGAGAAGAAGGAGTTGCAAGGTGAGGGGGTGGGGGAGTGGAACCCAGAAGTCTCAGGGCCCAGGGACGGGCGCGTGGCACGCCGGGGAATCTTGAGGGGCTTCTAATCTCCACTGTGCTAGACTTCTCCAAAGTAGCCAGTGGCCTCTTCCCTCCCGCCTTCCCTGCCCCAGCGGTCCCATAATCCCCTAAACACTTCAGTGGCTTTCTTTTCTCAGGTGCATCGCGTTCCCCCAACCCCGAGCCGCCGCTCGAGTGCTGTTGTCTGAGTACGCCTCCACGCCCCCGTGGCGGACCCAGACTGTTCCACCTCCTTTCCGGGTCTCCTTTTCCCATTCCTGCCCTACTTACCCACACTTGGCTCTAATGGGTGCTTTTTGAAATACTTTACCTCGATTTTGAGGACCCAGAAGGGATATTTGAAAGCTGTAAAAATTTCATTTTTTTTTTTCTCGTACCACAGCATAGTCACGGTTATGTTAATAAAGTTTTTTTGGGCGGGGGGGACGACGGGGGGAGTCTCAACTTCATCTGGGCTTTTCTCTATAATTGTCTGATTGTTTTGTAATTACTCTTGATTACATAATTTTTGTATGCCCTCTCCCCTTACCATCCCCTTCTTGTTATTTCGTTTTTCCTTTAACCTGTGGGGTTTTGGTGGCTTTTCAGCCAAAATTCAAAGTATGAAGAATGCCGTTCCCAAGAATGACAAAAAGAGAAGGAAGCAACTCATTGATGATGTTGCTAAGTTGGAAGCAGAAATGGAACAGAAACAGAGAGAGGAACTGGAGCAGTTGAAACTGACTTCTAAGGAGAGTAAAGTATGTGAAGTAATGTTTCTTTTGCCTAGGGCATTTGAAAGCAATTGTCCACTTCTGTTAAACTGTTTTCTATATAAAAATCATAAAATTGGAGAGAAACCTCATGCCTCACCTTCATTATCTTTGCGACCCAGGTTTACATGGTCAGGCGTTTGTGTAAGGGAGGTCAGCAAAGAAAGTATACTTCTTTAACTATTTACTTCCCAAAAGATGAACGGATTGATAAAATTTATCTAGAGGAAGATTCACCAAATGAAAGTTGGAAGAGCAGCCTTTTAGTCCCTGAATTGCCATTAAATATGATTGTAACCTGGATAAAGTTACTTAAACTTACTGAGCATAAATTTTTCCACATATAATAAGATACAAATACTTCTGTTTAAGTAAAGATTTTGTAAGAATCAAATAGGACAACAGATGTGAAATCATTTTTAAGTTATAAAAGTGCTTTTAGAACAAGTTGTAATGAATGAAAACTTACTGATGTTTCTTGGGGAAATTGGAACATAATGGCTCATTTTAACTTATACTTATTTTATCATTGTAGCTAATATGTACTGTGTGCCAAACACCATCTTTAATAGTGCATTATCTATAATTCTCATGGTAACTATGAGGTATTACCTATAAAAAATAAGTGTAAATAATTCCATTTTTCAATTGGGAAACAGAATTTGAGAGATTAAGAACATTGTCCTGAATTCATAGCACCTAGTGTCAAAGTCACAGCTGTCTTACTCCATGATGTGAGTATTGAATTCTGTTATAACTTTGTATGGTGTGGTAATTTATTGCTTGAGTTTTGGATAGCAAGGATCAGACTTCATAACTTCACTCCATTTTGGTAATTAGAAAGTTCTTACGTCTATGCAAATTTTTTCTACCATAATTGAATTTTATTTGGTTTATTTTTGGTCTGCTGTTGACAGGGAAACAGATTGTCTGTACTGATTTATAATGATTGTTATATTAAACATAGTTTTATTTTCTTTAACTTTATTAGCCAGTCATCCAGATTCTGGCCTTCCATGCTCTTCACATATTTTATTTCCAAGTTCCTAGGCTTGATGCTCCAGGTATTGGTGTTGTCACAATCATGGTATTCTTAATTATCTCCTCGTCTTTCCTATTAGTGAGACGGTTTTGTTTGCTCTCCCTGGCTTTTCAATTTTGAGATTTCTTTCCTAGGTTTCCAAGGACAAAAATGTTTGATTCTTAAGCTACATAGTGCCCAACTGTTAATATACAAACTCTCATTCTATTTTGAATTATTATCTTTTTTATAAACTTGTTCTCCTTCTGAATACTGCCCGAATTCTTATGTTATTGCTCTCTCTTTTTTTTTTTTTTTCAGATACTTCTCTATATCTTGCTTATTGTCAGTATGGCAGTTTGTAAATTGTAACAGATTCCTCTGAAAAATATAATACTAATTTTACTAAAATCGATGACCATTCTTTGACATTTTAATCTGATTTTGATTTTTTGATCATTTGAGCCATAGCCTTGGAGAATGCTGACTGGTTATTGTTGCCAGAGGCCTTGATATGTTTTATGTATGTGTCATACTAAATACTAGTTTATATTTGCAATAATAAAATACTAGCTCCTAATTCTGATAGTTAACATCTAGCAACTTTTTTATTTCAGCAAACGTATAACCCCTATTTAATGATTAAGATTGGTTGTAATATCTTAATGATAATTGTAAGTTAAAGTCTACCTATGGTTATCAGTTTGTAGCTGGGAAATAGAAAAAGCAAAACTGTTACTAGGGTCAAGAAGCAGTGCTCATCAGTGCTTATGATGGAGAAGACCTGTGTTGCCACATTTGGAGAAGGGAAGAATGGAGTGCTGAGTAAATTAACACTTAAAAAAGTATTTGGGTGGTAAAGGTGTAGGCTTGATAAGAAGGAAATAATGCATGAGGAGAGATGAGCATTATCTTTGAAGACCTGTAAGGAAACTTCTTGGGAATCTGACAAATTCTTCCTTGTAAATAGAGAAAGGAGACAAACCATACTATCTAATATTTATCTAGTGTCCTTATTCAAATTCGAAAAGTGGGATTGCACATATTTATGATTTCCTATAATGTAATAATCTAATACTTTGATTAATAAAAGTATTTTACATTAACTAGTTAATGCTTTTTGTTTTTTCAGATAGATTCTGTTGCTGTTAACATTTCAAACTTGGTTCTTGAGAATCAGCTGCCTCGGATATCAAAAGCACAAAAGAGACGGGTATGAAAGTCAAGTATTTAAGTTAGTGCTGTGTGCTCAGTACTATCTTAGGGGTTATATAGGAAAGGAGTAGAGAAAAAAATGATGGAGTTTCTTGTCAGGCTCTGAAGTAACATTTATGAAACACTTGCAATGTGCTAGATATTAGGCTAGGCTTATAGATTATATGAAATCTCATTTAGTCCTGACACTAATCCTATGAAGTAGGATTTCTTACCCCATTTTATAGAAAAGAAAATAGGCCAAGGGAAAAAAAAAGTCATATTCATTTTGTAGTTCTGATAGAAGGGCGGGGGCTAAGAAGTAGTTGTGCAAAGAATACTTTTTACAATTATGTTATCCCAGACTTAATAATACAGAGTCTTCAGAGTGTGGGCCAAGGAGATTCTGATGCACAGCTTTGGTTAAAAACTATAGTAGTAAGCGATGAAACAAAGATTTGAACCCAGAAGTTTAAGCAAGATATATAGCCGTATAAAAGAAAGAAAAGTTCTTTGTGTTATGTAATGAGTTGGAATTTTAAGGAAAAATAGTTATTTAGGTAGGATATTTGAAGTAAGAGAAATATCATAGACAAAAGTATGGGAATGAAATTTTGCATTATCAAAGAACTGTAGGAATCTGATTTATTGGAATTAGTGATATCAAAATTATGGGAATGACGTAGATAGATAAGGCCTTCTCTCTTCGAAAAACTTTAAATGCAATCTTTTTAGTCCCAAATATTGTTTTACTAACACCTGATGTTTTCTAGGATTTAAATGTTTATTTTTAAGCTAGCTTTGAATCTTATAATTTAGTATATAAGTTAATAGAGCATTGGCTTTGGTGTCAGATAGATGGGGTTTTAATCTCATTTATTGTGACTTCGAGTTAGATTCTTAACCCTTGTAAGCCTTGGTTTCACATGTATAAATGGGGAAAATAACACCTACTTCATAGAATTATTGTGAAAATTAAGTAACATGCTATTTCCAAAGTTCTAATACAACGCCTAGAGAACTACTGGGTCAACAAGTGATAGACTGTTTACCGTATTAACTACTCCATAATAAATATACCTCTTAAAAAAAATTTAACCTAAAACCAGTACTTTTCGTTTGTTTGAAAGTTGATTAAGTTCAAATTGTCAAACATTTTTCACACTTAGGTGAAATTTTTTTATTAAGTAAATATGATTGAATTTTATAGGACCATGAAATTTAGATTTGTCCAACTGTTAAAATTTAGAATTCATGGTATCTTAAAAGTTACCTAGTTCAACTCCCTACTTATGATATATATTCTTTTTGCAATAGCGTTAAAATTGTCATCTATAGATCTAAAATGAAGGGCAGAATCTTTGCTTGGCTTTAGCATAACAAAATATTTGTTGGAATTCCCTTTACTTAGTAATCGATACATCTTAGAGTATTCTTTTTAATTCTGAGAAACATAAGGATACAACTCCTTTCTGTCATTATCAAAACTGGTTCATCCCCACCTGGACCCTTTGGGAACAAGACAAACAAAAACAAATTAAATTTCCTTATCTTAAACGTTTTGTAATTTTTCTCCTAAAATACTGCATACCTTTTTTTGGCTATACCCTCAAAGATCTTATCGTTTATAGTAAGCAGCTTTTAACACTTGGCAGAGAAAATATCCTAGAACTAATGCCCCAAGTTTCTTTTGCTTTCTTATATCAGTAGGATTCTGGAACAGAAAACACTAAAAGCTTATAATACATAAGAAAATGGAACCTGAAAACAGAGTGGATAATTAGTTATTAGACTTATTTTGACTTTTTTCTTTTTTTTGGCCAAAGGCACCAAGAATTGAAAAGCCAATTAATGGTATTTATCTTTAGGAGAGAGAACAACTCTGGTAGAAAAACATGACAAAATTTTATGACGATTTGTTACTGGAATGTCGTAGAGCAAATCTCTTATTTTTAATCTAGAAAAGGATAGGGAGTATTTATTTGATTCAGAGAACTTCAGTGCTTCAATTTAGTTTGGCAGAAAGAATTAAAAGTAGAACTTAGAAGAACTGGGTTCCAAAATATGAAATTTGAGAGCTAGAATGAGATATAGTTCAGTTTCTTTAGTCTACAAATGAGAATACTTGAGGCCCAAATTGTTTCAATGGCATGCTGAAAGTTTGATACAAATCCAGGACTAGTACTCAATTCTTAAGGTTCCTCTTTAGAGTTGTTTTTGCTATATTACTACATCAACATGATTCTAGTTTCACTGACAGTGTATATGAATTATGTAATATATTTTCATCTTTTATATGTTTTTTCTTTAGACTTCACTGATGATATTCTATCTCCAGTACTAGGGTTGTAGAAACAAAAATGCCTAATGCCATTAGGAAACTATACTGTTGACATAAGAAACATCTAAATTTGTGGAGAATTTTTATAAGAGTCTATTTACGCTAAACTGAGGACATATGCCAGGGAGTAAGATCTCAAGTGTTTTGGAGAGTAAATTAGCAGTTTCTGTTAAGCATTTGAGATTAAGGAGGGAACATAAGGAAGATTACAGGAAGGTGGGAGAAAGCAAGGCGGTGCTTTGGATTACAATTAAGATTATATGGCTTCCTGAAGGTGGTCTCTGCTTTAGCCGGAGGGGTCTGAAAGGGGACTTTTCACAGGTGTGTTAACCTAGATGAATAGAAACAATGGACAGGGCTTCCTTAAGACAAAGATAAATCTTTTCCTAAAGCAATTTTATGCCTGGGGCATAACTATTCACCATGACCTGCCCAGTTAGGAATTTATGATCAGATCACCCTGTGGGGTTACTTTCAATAGAACTGTGTCTACAGTACTTTGCATACCCTACCTGGTGCCTTAGAAATGAAATATAATTGCTGTGTCATATTGAAGCAGAGCATAGGGAGAAAAAAATGAAATGATTAGATTAGTATTTTAGAGGTTTTACAACGAACGGTTTTGCAATTAGTAAAAAGTTCCACTCTGCCAGTAAATAGTACATTATATCGTAAATTCAGCTTTCATCTGCTCCAGTTTTTATTCTGATTCAGGTACCTGGATAGAAGGAGCTCTCTGTTTTTCCTTGGCCCCTGCTCTACCCACTGTATGGGCTTTGGAAATCTTTGTGTGTGCAGTTTCCTCAGAAAAGGAAGATGAGAGGTTTTGAACTAGATGATACCTAAGGTGCTTTTTATCCCACTCCTCTGAAAATGTTTTTTAGTCTTTTATAAAGTAATAGTGCCATCTTGTGTATTAAGATTTTATGCTTCTGTGGTCCATAATTTTAGGTATGCAGTGAGATAAATTTGTTCATGTTATTTCCAGAATGGTTGGAATTGGGAGAAAATACTTAAATAGGCTTATGTTTTATTAGGGAGGTAATAGTTTTTGATTCAGGTAACTTAGAGGTCACTTTAGGTTCATCTAGCGGGACACTTAACAGGCATATAGTACAATATGTGACATTAAATTGAAATTTGCCTTTCCCTTTGCTTCTTCTGCCCAAAGGAGAAGTTAGAGATATGAAAATCTTCACCTTTTCCTAGGTTTACCCTGTAATTTGCTGCCAATATCAAGATTCATAGAATTTAGTTTAATTATTTTTATTCTCTTAAATTTGAAAGCATTTCCTAAATATACAAGTAAAACATACAGTGGAGAATTCGAAAGATGCAGAAAAGTGCAATGCACACACACAACCAAATAAAACTTATTTTGTAATCCTACCATCTAGAGAAAAGTACTGTAAATACTTTGTGTATGTCCTTCTAGTGTTTTTTTTTTTTTAAACAGTGTGTGCGCATACTTAATGTATATTAACTACAGATGCTCTTCAACTTACGATGGGGTTAAATCCTGATAAACTCATCATAGGTTGTAAATATCATTTAAGTTGAAAATGCATTGAACACACCTAACTTACATGCATCATAACTTAGCCTAACCTACCTGAAACATGCTCAGGACACTTTACATTTGCCTACAGTTGGGCAGAATCATCCAACACAGCAAATACAGTGTAGAGTATCAGTTGTTTATCCTCGTGATCATGGCTAACTGGAAGCTGCAGCTGGCTGCCATTGCCCAGCATCATGAGAGAGTATCCTGCTGCATATCGCTAGCCTGAGAAAAGATAAAAATTCAAAGTAAGGTTTCAACTAGATGTATGTGCTTTCACACTAGAGTAAAGTTGAAAAATTTTAAGTCAAACCACTGTAAGTGGGGGACTGTTTTTATATACCTTTTTTGCCCCAAACTCATGTCTTGATACTTTTCCTTGGTACTATAGCTATATGAACTGTGTTTATCTATGAAACATAGTGCTTCTGGCTTTTAATTCTTGCTAGTCCAACTGTCAAGAACTTTTTCTCTTCTTCCCCAACCTTCTCATTCTACCTTCTATCCATCCTTTATGTCACAAATCTTTTACTGACCTCCTAATCTCATCCTTGTATATGCTTTATGGGAAGATTTCTTATGACATTTGAGTAAAGAAAGGTGCAGAATGTAATGTATACCATGTTTGTTTAAAAGTTTTCTTTTTATACATTTCCAATGAGTACATTTGTATTTATTAAAATGCATAGGAAAAAATCTAGAAGGATATACAACAGATACCTACAGTAGGTACTGGGATTAGCAGTGGTCTTTAAGGGGTACTTGAGTCTGTCTATAATATTTTAATTTTTTACGAAGAATATTTTTACCTGTTACTTTAATAAAACATGTATGTTCGTGTTTATACGCACATTTTTTTTTTTTTAAAGCTAGGTAGAGTTCCTGTACTTTTCTAAAGACTTTAGCACGTTAATGCCTCATTGTTGGAGTGGTAAATTAAAAAGCTTGCATTAGCCTGGACTTAAATAAATATATGATAATGATGCTTTAAGGCCGAGAACAATCCAGTCTTAAGACAATATATTGAAATCAGTAAGTAAAGTTTTAGAAACTTGGCATGTAGTTTTTAAAAGTTTTTAAATTTTTCAAAGAAAATTTGAGAGCTTTTGTCTAGGTACAGAGCTAGGTACTGGGTACACAGAAAGATAGTTTGCCCTTAAAGGAGTTCACAGTACAGAAGATTCTACAAGTTATGAAATCATCAATGCTATAGTGCTTGTGGTAAAAGGGAGAAAAATGGCAAAAATGTTTTGAGAGTCTTATGTCTGTCTCCTTAAATGTAAATTAGCCCTAATTATTATGAATTAACTTTTCTACATTCTCTCCTTAGGACAAAAAAGCTGCATTAGAAAAGGAGCGGAAAGAAAGGATAGCTGAAGCTGAAATTGAGAACTTATCTGGAGCTAGACACATAGAAAGTGAAAAACTTGCTCAAATATTGGCAGCTAGACAGTTGGAAATCAAACAGATTCCATCTGATGGTCACTGTATGTATAGAGCCATTGAAGATCAACTGCAAGAACAGGACTGCCCTCTGACTGTGGCTGCCTTAAGAAGTCAAGCTGCTGACTATATGCAAAACCACGTAGAAGACTTTCTGCCATTTTTAACAAACCCTAATACAGGAGATCTATATACTCCAGGTTATTTATTTGTCTTTACTACATCTTGTTGTCGTGGTTGTTGTTGTTAAATAGAGTGCTCCCTGGGACTGAGAATAAGAAAAACTCATATCGTTCTTATGGGGAAAAATATCTCAAAATTTAGGCAGATTTATTTCCTATAATTTTAACAGATATTAGCATATTTTACAAGATCTTTTAAGTACTTAACCATTTTGTAGTTAAAATATGTTAATTGTGTCATATAAGATGCTGATGCAAATAAGTTAACAGCTTCCAGAATGACAAGTTGGAGGCACTGTTTGATGCTAGCTCTGGGAAAGGAGTTTCACCTCATTTGTACTTTTACCCTGATTCTTTTTTCACATTTCTTATAGTTTTACAGTGAACCCGATTTTATAGGGGCTGCATTTTTATTCTTTTGATGTGTTCTTTTGCATGCAGATTTAGGCTTTAAAGTACATGTCAAGATAGTGAATAAGGTGACAATTTTGGGGTGGGTAATGATTGCTTGGGTTAAAGAGGGAGAAGAAGGACCCGTTACATACTTAAGGTTCTTGGGCCTCAGGCTGAGGGAGGGAAGCAGAAATGTATTGCTTTGCTCTTGGATGGTGAGGCGGCAGAAAATTGGAGTGGGTTAAATTCTGGAAAGCACAGGTAGAGAAGGAGGAAGTTCATATATTGAACAGTTTCATCAGGAATTGTGGAAGCTATAAAAGGGATCTTGTTACATGATTTATGAAAATTATTAAGTTTTATATTGTTTATTCTCTACAGAAGAGTTTGGAAAGTACTGTGATGATATTATAAACACAGCTGCATGGGGAGGTCAACTTGAGGTAAGTTTGTAATTATTCATCATGATAGCGAATTGTTAAATTATTTCTAAATCCCATCTGTAGTTTTGACATTTTTCAGATGATCCTAACATCTCTTTGAAGATTCCCTTTCTTTAAATATTAGCTGGTTCTATATTGACAAAGCATTGAAGTGTAGGAGGATAACATTCTTAGGCCTTTAAGTATGTACCTTCAGGAAGTAAAGCACTGTTTCATTTTAAATAGCCAGGTGTTTGATCTGTGGGTTGGTGTAGGTCGTGTTGCACCTGTGTGTTTCCAATTGTGATACTGCTATTGGCAATGTGTTTGATGTTTTGAACTTATGAAAGTTAAGATTTTACTCAAGTACTGTAATATTTGCCCTAGTGGCTCAGCTGATGAAAAATAACATACCTATTACATCAGACATAGAAGACAATATTTTTATGTGCTATTACAGGTCAAATCCTACCATGAATTCCTAGTTGGTAATGACTGACTGAATTGAAAGCAGTATTGATGTCATGAATTCCTAGTTGGTAATGACTTACTGAATTGAAAGCAGTATTGATGAATTAAAATTCACATGTAAGAAAACAATGTTTAGTCACTTGTAGAGAGTTAATTAGGATTTTTTTGTCTCTAATTATTTATTGTACTTTGTTAATTTTGTTTCATTAAAATAAAATAAACCAAACCTCTATGTGGTCCAAATGGTAATGAGGCAACCTGGGTGATTAGAAAGTTAGGAGATAAGAGGAGAAATCTTGGGTTTGGGTTTTGGCTTTTCCTTCCACTTCTCAGTTTTGTGATCATGAGGGAGTCAATCTCCCGAGCTTGAGTTTCCTAATTATTGAATGGGAATAATAAAAAAACCTATGTGTACCTCAGCAGGTCATTTGTGGACACTAAGGCAAGAACTATATGCATAGAAGTTTGTAAGCTAAAGTGCCAGGTGGATGAATCTAGCAGTGTTATTAATATAGTGATTAATCATTTTGAATAGTTTGTAGCTCTGGGTATTTTCCTTTAAGAACTATATTGTTTGAAGGTATGACATAAATGTTTCTTCAAAATCTTTTTCTGAGCAGTACTGTATTTGTACCTCCTCTGAGCCATGAGAAGGAACTGTGTCCATTTGTTTTGTGTTCCTCTCCTGGGTCTCTGAAACTCAAGAAGTTTTCATAGTAGCATTGTGACTACATTAGGAGTAATTAATTAAAGATGTTTAACTTTTCTTACAAGGATCACAAGTTAATATGAGTATTAGAGACCTAAGTGACTCTTTCTAAATTGAAAAATCTTTTAAAAATTCTTTGAAGGACATTTCTCATAAGTTGTTCATCTCTGAATCCATTTGAAATAAGAATTGCTATTTTTACAATAGGGTAAATTTAAATTATTAAAGAGAAAATCTTTGTATGGTTTCTGAAGACTTAGAAGGGATAAGATTTTCAGAACTTGCTTTGCACCCTCCATTCTGAGCTAGCTTTTAAAAAATGTTATTTTAGGTATGAGGAAAAACTGTCTCAAAGGAACATTTTTTTCCTTTTGGTATTTTTTCCCCGTCTTTATTGAAATAGACAATTAGTTGCTTGTAGTATATTTTACAATTCCATGACTTTTTTTTTTTTTTAATTATAGTTGGCATACAATAATATACCAATTTCAGTTGTATAGCATAGTGATCAGAGATTCACATAATTTGCAAAGTGATTTGTACCTCTTAATCCTTTTTTTTTCATCCTCCCCAATGCCCCTCCCATCTAGTAGCCCTCAAAATATTCTCTGTATCTATAAGTTTACTTCCACTTTTGTTGTTGTTCTTGATTTTGTTCTTCAGATTCCACATGTATGTGAAATCATGTAATATTTGTATTTCTCTATCCGACCCATGTCATTCAGTGCAATATCCTCTAGGTCCATCAAGGCAATATCTTTTTCAATCCCCTTCCTTTTAGTCTGTGTGTGTCTTTTAATCTGAAGTGAGTCTCTTGTAGGCAGCATATGTAGGGGTCTTGTTTTCTAATCCATTCAGCCACTCTATCTTTTGGTTGGAGCACTTAATTCTTTTCCATTTGAGGTACTTGTTGATAGGAACGTAATTATTACCGTTCTTTATTCATGTTTTTGATACATGTTTTTTCTTCTTAAAGAAGTTCCTCCAACATTTCCTGTAATACTGGCTTGGTGTTGATAAATTCCTTTAGCTTATTTTTGTCTGAGAAGCTCTTTATCTGTCCTTCAACTCTAAATGATAGCTTTGCTGGATAAGCCAGTTTTATGGGTGTTCCCTTATAAGTAATGATCTGTTTTTCTCTCTCTGCTTTAAATATTCTTTCTTTGTATTTAACCTTTGGCATTTTAATTATATGTCTTGGTGTGGGCCTCTTTGGGTCCCTGGTTTTTGGGATTCTCTAGCTTCCTAGGGTTTTATATATATTTCCTTCACCAGGTTAAGGAAGTTTTCCATCATTATTTCTTCAAATAGCTCTTCAATGTCTTCTTTTTTTTTTTCCCCCCCAATACCCCTACGACAGAGATATTTTTACATTTAATAGTGTCCCATAGGCTTCTTAAATTATTATTATTATAGTCTTTTTTCTTGCTATTTTGATTGAGTGTCCTTGGCTTTCCCATCCTCTATGTAGGTCATTTGATCCTCTTCTTTATTCACTCTGTTTATTCTATTTAATATACTTCTCATCTCAGGTAATGTGTTCTTCATTTCTGACTGGTTCTCTTTTATAATTTCCATTTTTATATTTTTTATCTCTTTGTTGAAGTTCTCACTGACTTCATCTACACTTTGCATAAGTTCATTGAACATCTTTATAACCAATGTTTTAGACTCTGCATCTTTTCAATTGCCTGACTTCATTATTTCTGGATCTCTGTTCTGCTCTCTCATATGGTTTCTCCTTCTTTGTCTTCCCATTTTGGCTGCCTTTCTGTGTTTGTTTCTATGTACTAAGCAAAGCTCCTAGGTCTGCCAGTCTTATTAGTGCAACTTTGTGTAGTAGGTGTCCAGTGGCACAGTCCTGAGAGGGGTTCAGCTGCAGGCCAAATTTAGCCCCAGGTTGCGCCCCTCTTGGGCCACCTGTTAAGATTCAGCAAACAATCCACAGATGCTGTGCTTATAGTTACCTCAAAAGGCCACACCAGAAACCGAGGCCAACTGCCACCAGTGTGGCTTGGCCCTGCTCAGCAGGGGGCATCTGACTAAGTGAGGGCACAGCTGGATGTGGCTTGGGTGGGGCCACGAGTTGAGGGAAGCTTCAGGGAATCCTCTGGGCGGAGTAACCTCTGTTATCCAGTTTGATGACATCTGGGTGTGGTGGCGCTGGGTCCACGCACTGAAAGAGGGGAGGGCTCAACAGGGGAACAGTGGATACCGCCAGTACTTCATTACAGAGCGAGTCTTGGCCCTCTGACAATTCAGTATTCCCCATGGAAGTCCCTGGTGCCACCTGTGTAGCTGAACCACTGCTTGTGCTCAGAGCGAGCAGGTCCATCACCATGAAATTCTGCTCGCAGACACGGCCCCTTTAAGAGGCCTCTGCAGCTGCCAGCCACCGCTGCAGTGGCCTCTGTCCCACTCAGCAGCTCTGGACCCGTCAGCCCATCGTCCTCGCCTCGTCCTACCTTCTGCCATTGCCGGGTGATTTCTTAGTTCTCTCCCTAGTTGTATGGCTTGTTTATCTAGATCCCAGATGATTTTCCTTGCTGTTTGCTCCTTGTTGATGTCACAACTTTGATTCAGTCACCAGAGGGATGAACAGAGCCTCTATCATCTACGCCATTTCTTTTTCCTCATTCTCAAAGGGACATTGTTATGCAATAGAGTATGGGATTAAATTTGCCACCATGAAGCATAGAACCTTTTTCATATTCCTCGAGTAATTTAATACTTTTGTTTAAAACTTCCTAAAACTTCCATGTTTTAGACAGAATGATCTTCTAGTGGGGCAGATGTATAGATCCGGGCACTATGATTGAAGACTGTTAAGGGATTAATTTGTTTATGAACTTTCTCCATTCAATTGCAGGTCATTTTATTTCCTTGTGCTTGACTTTAGGTAGGCCTTCAAGATCATCTGAAAAGCTTTAAAAAAAATAACCAATTTGCTCTGCTCCTTCTCTTTCCCCCCTCCCTCCAAAATTGTAATTGATTTGGTCTGCTGCTTCAACAATGATTTACTAAAAACTTTTTATTATGGAAATTTTAAATTATATTCAAAAATAGACCAATGAACTCCGTCTACCCATCCCCTCACTTTAACTATGACATTGATATGTCTAAGAAGCTGTTGTGTAGCCAGAGCTTGAAACTTCTGCATTTGATTTAATAAACATTTATTTTTTAATTTATTTTTTAATTATTTTTTAATTTTAAGGTATTAAGTGCCTTCTGTATGCCAGGCTCTCGGTGTACATTGACGAACAGGGCAGATCCCTGCCCTTACTGATTGCCCAATTCATGCGTACCTTAGTAGTTTATAATTTCAGTAAGATTTACATTTTTATTTTTTTAACGATGCATTTTCTTTCTTATAGCTAAGAGCCCTGTCTCATATTTTACAAACACCAATAGAGATAATACAGGCAGATTCTCCTCCTATTGTAGTTGGTGAAGAATATCACAAAAAACCATTAATACTTGTGTAAGTACCTAGAAATGTCTACTGTTATATTTTTCATATTAAGACAAAAAGGATTATTTAAAAATTTTAGGTTGTGTTGTTGATTAATTGAAAAAAAACTTGTCAGTAGAATTATGCTTATTTTATGTTAACTGCAATTATAAAATTAGAAAGCATTTTTAAAATATGTGATTTAGATACTCGTTTAAATCTCTAGTGATTTATTTTTGTGTATGAGTTAAGAATAAAGTTATTTCTAAAGGTTACAAAGTTTTAGAATTAGTTTGCATATTGTCCTAGTTTGACATTAATAATGCTAAAAGTTTCAACAAGTGAAAAAGCTGAAATATATTTATGTTGCCTGATTATTCCTTAGAGATTTTTTTCTTCATATTGTAAAAGTATTTTATGCGATTGAGAAATCTCTGAAACACAACATGGAGAGTTTGCTCTTGGCTTCAGTGTTTTATTAGCTAACTCTACTAAGGTGGTCATTAATGGCTTGGATTTAGGTAAAAATTTCAGCTTATTGAGTAGTCAGCATTTCAATCCTTTTTTTCCTCCAATGATTGTGTTTTACTTAAACTTAGCAGACAGAGTTACAGATCTTATTGACTGCCACTGCTTTTCACATGGTGTTAAACTTAAGTATGCTTATGTAGTTTATTAAATGATACCTCTGTGGAGTGATTCATTCAGAATACTTGGTTTTATATGCTTAATAAATATGTATAAATATTCATCAAAACTACTCATTTCTTTTTTTTTTATTTCAGATATATGAGACATGCATATGGCTTAGGAGAACATTACAATTCTGTTACATGGTTGGTGAACAGAGCTACTGAAAATTGCAGCTAGTTTACAAAAAGTTGCACAATTATGTTTTAGTACCAGTATATGAGTATTCAAACCAAGTGCTGGATTGTTCTAAATGTTACTGGAAAAACACAACTACCTGAAATTTGTTTTATGGCAAAGCTACTAACAGGTTTTTAGAAAATGTCTCAGAGATAAACTTTAACCAGTGTCCCCTAAGTGGTATTTTAAAAACACATGTAAATCCATTGTGGAGATCATTTATAGACCAAGATGCAACCCTATTTGCTGATATTTTTATTAATATAGGATCCTGAACGTTCTGTTGAAATAAAATCTTAAATGTTTTACTAAAAGCTTACAGTAACCACTTCAGTGTAATTTTTCTTGAAGAAATGAGACTCAGTCTCTTTGTCATTGCAATACTGTGGTGATCGTGATAGCGACTTTAACGCTTATAAATGAACTTGATTGCGGTAACCTTGGTATCAATGGGATTAATACTGTGAACCTTTTTATAAGCCCATCAAAGTATAGCTGAGAAGCTTGCTTTAATGATTAAGAATTGTAAAATATTTTTTCCTATGGGAATCAGTTATATTTTAAGAAATGAGACAAATTTGAAGGTAAATAGGTATTCCCTATCAGATTTAAACCTCTAAAGCAGTGGTCCCCGACTTTTTTGGCACCAGGGACCAGTGCTCCTATGAGAATCTAATGCCTGATGATCTGAGGTAGAGCTGAGGTGGTGACGCTAGTCCTGGGGAGTGGCTTCAAATACAGACGAAGCTTCACTCCCTGCTTACTTCCTGCTGTGCAGCTCTGTATAAGTCCGTGGCTGGGGGGTTGGGGACCCCTACTCTAAAGAATTACAGCTTAGCCTTTTATTTGTGTGTAACTTAAAAAAAACCCAACAGATTCTTGTCTAATTCACTTGTTACTACTTGCTGTTTCTTAAACTTCAGAATGGAATTAGTGCCATCATTTCTTGATTATCTTCATAACTACAGTTTTTTGGTTTGTTGTGTTTTCTTTATCACCACTCAGCTGCTTTGCTTTCCTTGCAGCATTTTCCACTAAGAAATAGTTTGTGGCCTCACTTAACCTTTAACTTGTACAATTTGAAAGAGTAGCAATGTAAAAAGGCCCAAGGCTAAAATTTCTTCAAATTTTCTTTTCCAATTTGTTTTACAAGATCTTTCTCTGTTTTATTTTCTAGGATTAAAAGAAAGCCTTTGTTACTTGTTATTTTGTTTGCCTTATTAATGTACCTTTCCTTAACTCAAGTATTTTCAGTATTTTTTTTTATTACATTATGGATAAAGTTGAAAGCCACTCTTTAGGAGTCAAGACTATATAGTAAAATCAGTATACAATGCTTTTTGGTGTGAATGATTTATCTAAATCAGATTTCAGGTTACATATAACGTATTCCATCTAAGAAGATAGTACTTATATATACAAATGTGTCTGATAATTTATATATAAGGAAGTATTATGAAAATGAGACTTTCTTGGTTGGATCTATTTTTCCTCAATTAGAAATAACTAGTAACATTGAGCATGAAGTTTATGACATTTTAATTTGAGCTTCATTAATCCAGCTAATTTTTACAATTAAATGTGGAGTTTATAGTATTTAAAATGAGGTGTCAGTCTCACCTGCCTAGCAGTTGACTATGTAGGAAGCTGGTCAACTAGAGCAAGTGAGTACTGCATTTCAAGAGTTTAAAAACAATTCTGCCTGCCAAACAAAATATATTCTGAAGGTTGCTTGTTTTGTAATCCATGATCTGAATTTCTGGGGGTCTGAAATGTATAAAATAATGAAATTTTAAAACACTAAGTATCTTGGCTTTATTTTGAAGTAATTTATTACTTTAAAAGATAAACATTAGGAAGTAATAAAATAAGATCATGAATCCTCGTTATTACAAATTCCATCTATATTTAAAGTATTCTAAAATAACCTGCTGGTAGCTATTGTTTTCCCTAACGAGTGTTTTCTTGATTATAGGTTTATTTTTTATTTTTATTTTTAAATGCCCAATATGGTTATGAACAAGACATGTATGGTTAACTTCCATTCTTTCATAAAACTTCAGATAAAAATCATTTTAGCTGTAACCTAAAATTTAAGTCTTTAAAAAATGGCAGATGTTAATTTAAAAGCACGTACACTAATTTAGTTTGCTGTATGATGACAGTTTAATAGAAGTTTTCTAATCTTTATTTGGTCCTAACTCAAAAAGTGTTAGAGTTCTGGAATATGTGTTAAGCCAAGAATTTTATCCCCTTAAATATGTTTACAACTTGTATAAAGCAAAAAAGAGTGTTATAACTATAGTGAGCAATATAGTTTTGTTCATATCTGTTTGCCAAAAGAATAAAAGATGAATTAAGTAAACATTTGTTCAAATTGTTGTTCTTTAACAGTTTTAGAATATAGAAATAGAGGAAACTCATTTTGTTTTAGAATTTTATTCAGCCTTTATTTTGTCTTCACATATAATTGAAATTAATACAATAACATATTCTTGGATTTAAAAGATCTGGAATAAATGTACGAGCATAGCATTATGACCTAAACAGAATAGAGGGAGATAATAAAATAATAGCCATTTAAGGCATGGCTTTTAGTAATCAAGTTGAAATTTAGAACCTTTTAGAATAATGAAGGTTTATTTAGGGCAAGTGAATTAGAAGTTTCTCAGACTGGCGGGTGTTAATGAAAAGAAACGTGTGTAGAAGAATGTGAAATAAGGAAGGCTGTGCAAATTATACTGGTACACCCTTGTTAATATGTTGTCTTGAACGAGTTGTCCTGAACTAGCAAAAGGAGCAGATTAGTTTTTTTTGTAGTAAACAGTATGAAATAGAGTGTTTCTTCTTCCTGTCCAGTATGTTTTCACATACATAGATTCTTCTCTCCTATTTTAAGTTTTGTTTAAAATAGTCTCTTCATCTTGTGGAAAAAATAGAACTCATGGGGTTTTTAATTTTTCGAAGTAAGTTTTTAGGAAAGCAATCAGTTCTTGTTCTTTACCCCACTGTTGTTTAAGACCTTTCAGAGTTGAACGTTTCACCCAGCCTGCTTCACCAACATACTTTTATGTCTTCGGTTTAAATAACACCTACCTTGGCAAGCTCCCAGACTTACAAAGCTTGTTTTGATTATTGCTGAAGAAAAACATTTGCACATGAAGCTATGCATTTAACCATGTGGTTTTGAAATATATGTATATATTCAACCAACAACAGTGTGTAAACTTCCACCACTCCAGTGAAACTGCTTCTAAGAGTAGTACCTGTCCTTATCTTACTGAAAATTTCTGCTGGTTCCTCCTATGACTTTCACATTATTACCCCTGACTATCTTTCTCACTCTATGCCAAATGCTTTTTCAGTTTTCCTGCCAAATAGATTGAATTCTGGTTGCTGACATTCCACAAGGTTAATCCACATGGCAGTGAGCTCAGCACCCCTTTCAGCGGGGTTTAAATAGTGCATTTAAGAAGCAGGTCAACATTAAAAAATTTGAAGTAGTAAATCCCATCTCCTTTTCTGCATTTCTCTTCTTGTGTCTTCACAAAACTTGACCTGTGCCACAGCCTTACCCAACCAAATATTACCCCAACTCTATTTACCTACTTTACATCTTACTATGAGATCAGGTTCTAGTTACGGTCTTACCTACTTTATACCCTATCATTTTCTATCCCCGCCCCCCTTTTATTTCTCACCTAGAAGCCTTGTAATTGCTATTCTTGCCTCCTGTCTTACTCCCTTAAACTCTCCATGCTGCTAAAGAGAACTGCCAAAAATGAAAAATCTGACGACTATCTTCCTAACCTAAACTTCGCAATGGCTCTCCAGCCCCATAGGATGAAGTACAGTGTCCTTTTGGAAGGTGTTTAAGGAAGGTCCTTTGTGACTGGTCCTATGTACCTCACCAGCATTAACATCCATCACTCTTTAAACTTATGCACTAGAATTATTTATATTCCCATGGCCTCATGAATTTCATGCCTGTGAACATTTTTTTTTTTTTTCATATTTCTTTTCTTAAATGCTTTTCTCCTCACATTTCATCAACGGCTTAATTCTTTTAACTCATTATGACTACTTAGCAGTCAATAGCAGGAAATCTTCCTTGAACCAACAAATTAGGTTCTTTGCCATTTTGTGTACTTACTTAGATAAGCATTTATAGCATTGAAATGTTGGCTTTATGAAAGGAGTGACCTAATCTATCTCTTCATTATTATGTCCCCAGTGCATTAGTGCTATAATGATGACTAGCATGTAATGGCAACTTAATAACTATTTGATTATTGTGATAAGCAGTTTACAACTTATACATCACATCATTATGTTGTATACCTTAAACTAATACAATCTTATATATGTCACTTAAATTTCAGTAAAACTGGAAAAAAAATAATTATTTGATGAATGAATGACTTGTTTACATTTCTAACTAAGCTCTAGATTCTAAGCTCCTTGAGGGTAATGACCATGACTTATTCATATTTGTATACTAGGCATCTTGGACAGTTCTTGACAAATAGTCACTCAATATTTTTAACTGTCAACCTTACATTTTTTTTCTATATTTGTGTGACTTAATTTATGCTAATGATGGGGTTTATGTAAGGCACTCTTTCATACTACACCAAAGTTTAAATTGTCAATTTAATAAACATTATTAACTGAATGCCAAGCATGCTGTAGAGATTGCAGTTCAAACGTGTAGCAAGGGAGAAATGTGAAAAGATCAATAATACGAAGTATTAAATGCTAAACAGGAGTTTGTATAAAGTCCTCTTTAAACATAGATATGGAAGCAATCTTCCTTGGAGAGAAGGTCACAGTTCAAGGAAAATGTTAGAGGAAATATTTGATGAGGAAATATTTGATGAGATTCTTCAAAGGATTAGGAACAATTAGGTCGGTAGGCAAATGAAAAAGTTATATAGGCAAAATAAAGAGCGTAGGCAAAGGAATGAATGTACTTAATGCTATGGAATAGCATGTGGTCTCCTAAAGGTAGAATAGAGGGTTTGTGACAGGAAATGACATGATGAAGCTGGGGCTAGACACAATCAGTTTTGAGTCCCAACTCAATAATTGAGATTTTAACCTATAAGCAATGAAAGGCCATTAAAATATTTTATTTAGAGTTATAGATTTGTTGGAAGATAACTGGTGATAGTGACTATGTAATGGCAGAGGCAGACATATAATTGAAGCAGACAGTAGTACAGATAGAGATGATGAGACTTTGGACTATGATACCAGTGAGTGGTAAGAGAAGTAGGTGTCAAGGGTGATGATGCGGATTGCATAAGATTTAGCTAAGCTCAGACAGTATTTCAGAATCCCCTTTCTGGAATAGTTTCAGGTCAGTTAACAGTTGAGCCTACAGCATATCCCATTTCTTCCAGATCTGGGGCAGACAGATAAGCAACATCCAGCCCTACACACATAGCTCAACCAGTTCCTACAGTTACTTGAGATCAAAGTCTATGTGATTCCTAGTTGGTCTTTTTCTCTGATTGAACCCTGATGCATAATTTGCTGCTAGAACAAAATATTTAAACCATATAACAGGGTTTTTGGGACTGGGCCTTGGGTGTACATTAGAAGGGCCTTGAAGAGACGGTTTAGCAGGAGCCTGATGGCACTCCAGGAGGCCCTTGGTGAGGGTTTAAAGGAATGTGAGGAAAATGTTATTAGAACTGGAAGAGAGGTGACTCCTGTGAATAGTAGCAGAGTTTAGCAATGATGCCAGCAGCATTCACTTGGAAAGTAAAAAGCATATCTCATTTACTGGGTGATCTAGATAAGATTTCTAGCCAGTGTTGATGTGGTGTCGATTCTTCTAGCTGCCTATAGTAAAAGAGAAAGGCCAGGGTAAGAATTATTAAATGTAAATGAGCCACAAACTTTGGGCTTAATAAATAAAACTTTCTCACTTCTAGCCTCTCCAGACAATAAATGATGCTAAAATTAATAAATGAGTTCCAGGCAAATACCAAATCAGGGAACTGTCAGGAAAATGTCCGAAGATGAAGCCAAGGTCATAACAAAACCCTTTGTTAAAACCTCAAGAAGATTACAGATCTTTTCTAATCAACAGATGAGAGAGCTTCTAAAATTCTTGTCTTCTCCCACAGTGGTTTCACATGGGAACCCCAAATAGAGAAGGATATGCAAAGAGATTTTGAGTGTGGCTTTGTCTGATGGAAGAAATTATAAATTGTTTGAAAATAAACTTACAAAATTTTTAAAGGGATTATATCAGCTTTGAATTAAAAATGACTGTATAAAATGGAAAGATGAGCCCTCATAAACTGTTGTTAGGAATGTAAACTGATGCAGCCACTGTAGGAGAGTCTGGCAGCTCCTCCATGTGACCCAGCAATTCCTCCTTAGGTATATACTCAAGAAAATTGTACACAGATGTTCATAGCATTATTTGTAATAGCCAAAAAGTAGAAACAATTAAAATATCCATCAACTGATAAATGGATAAATAAAACAGTATAACCATACAATGGAATAATTCTAGGCAATAAAAAGGAATGACATATTTGTACATACTATAACATGGATGAACCTTGAAAGCATTACAAAAGTGAAAGACAATCACAAAGGACCACATATTGTATCATATCTATATAAAATGTCTAGAATAGGCAAATCTTTGGAGATAGGAGATTAGAGGGCTATGTGTTATGGAAAAGAAAAGTAATTCAAGAGCCCAGAGAGGGGAACCGAGAACCAATCCCAGGCAATAGGAATGAACGCTAATCAAGGGACTGACAACATATACCTAAATGAGTTCCAGAATTGCTATGAACTAGTGGGCTGCTTTGTGCCTCTTTTTCATTTGCATGGTACTGTCTATTGCACTCTATGTTTTACACATTAAATTCTAGGTACTTGTCTCTTTAGTTCATAGATCTTCAGATCAAGATGAACTGTATTTGAGTTGACTCGAAGAACTGTCCCTGAAGAGCTCCATTCACCTTTGTACCTGATTTAGAGGACAAGATCTTAGGATCTGATGCTCTAAATAGATGAAACTTTGGGGGAGGGGGCACTCTTGGGAGAAAGTATGTTGGGGGAATGTAAACAATTCATGGCCAGAGGGTGAACTTTAGTGGATTTTAAGATATGTCCACTTAGCATCAAGAGGTGGGGTCTATTCCTCTTCCTTTGAATATGGGCTGTACTTAGTAACTTGCTTCTAATAGAATGTGGCAAAAGTGATGTTGCATGACTTCTGAAGCAGGTCATGAAAGTGATATAGCTTCCACACTTCTTTCACTCTTGAGATGCTAACCCTTTGAACCAAGACACCATGTTGGGAGAAAGCTCAAGCTACATTGAAGAGGCTACATGTAGGTGTTGTAGCTGATTGCCTTAAGGCCCCAGTCAATAACCAGCATCTACCACCAGATGTGAGTGAATGAGCCTTTAGATAATTTCTGCTCGACCCCTGAGCCAGCCCAGCTGTTGCCAAGAGGAACATTGACAAGCTGTTCCCACTGAGCATTGCCCAAATTATAGACTTGTGAATAAAATAAATATTTTAAGCCACTAAGTTTTACAGTGGTTACCCAGCGATCAATGAGTGGAACAGGTGATATTAATGAGACTGATTACACATTGGAAGTAAGGAAGGAGGAATCAAGAATGTTTATCAGATTTTCTAGGTTAAGCAAATTAATAGAAAGCAGTATCAGATTGTAGTGGCCTGTTTACCCATATAAAACTAACAATTACCAGTGTTTGAATAGTGTCAGCTGGGGTACTGGCTACACAGAGTTACTTTAGAGGAGGTAAGTGTCCATGAGATTTTTTTAAAGGCAAAGCCTTATGGTCACTTTGTTTAGGTAGTAACAGCATGATTGTTCTTAAGAAACTAAAATATCAGCGTAAAGAAGTTAGGATTGGAAGAGATAAGATGAAGAGCAGTGATTAAGTAGCTGAAAAATGATTTTATCCTAGCAACTGCAAATCACTATTAATCACAACCTCTTTTTTTTTTTTTTTTTTACCATTACAATGATATTGATGTTTGTTATAATACCCTTTATAAATTTAATGATTCTTTTTCAGGACTTTGACATTTACTTTAACCTCTTACTGGAAAAGCTCTTGTCTGTAATAGGACCTTCTCTGATCATCCTATCTAAAATTGCAAATTCCTTATTTCCATTCTCCTTATTTTTTTTTACCTGCTTTATTTATTTATTTATTTGCATTTAATATCATCTAACATACAAGTTTTGCTTATTTATCTTTATCAGTTTTCTCCCCCAACTGGAATGTAATTTCAATGAGAGAAGGATTTTTGTCTTTTTTTTTTAAATTCATTTCTCTATCCCCAGTGCCTGTTACAATGTTGAGCAGATAGCAGGTGCTCCTAAATATTTGTTGAATAAATGAATAAAGTAATTTTTTTAATTACAAAGAGAGGGTTAGATTTGTGTTCTGCATACAGTCAATACAGAATGTATTTTATAGTATTCAAGTTTTTGGAAATCAGCAATCCAAATGTGAGATTATCCATGTATGTGTGTGTGTGTATGTGTGTGTGTGTATGTGTATGTAACCCAAATGTCTCCATTGCCCAAATGGGGTTCTAATAGTAATCAAATGTCACTGGCTTTAGCTCCTCCCCCTTTTTGTCTTTGTCTTAATCTTTTATTTGGAAAATTTCAAATATACATAAGAAAATAATGGGAATAGTATACTGAATCTCTGTGACCCATTACTGAGTATCAATAATTATCAGTGTTTGGTCAGTCTTGGTTAATCCATTTCTTCCTCCCACTTTTCCCCCATGATTATTTTAAAGAAAATTAAAGACATCATGAAATTTCACCTGAAAATTTTAGATGTATTTCTAAATGTTGAGTACATTTTTAAAAAACACTATCATCAAGCCATTACCACATATAACGTAATTAGCAATTTCTATCATCTAATACCTAGCCCATGATCAAATTTCCCCAATTAACTCCATAATATTTTTATTTAAATAAGGATTCAAACAAGGACCATAGACTGCATTTGGCTATTATTTCTCCTAAGTCTCATTTATTTCATAAGTTTCCCCTTGTTTTTATTAATGCCATTGATTTGTTACTTAAACCTGTACCATTTGCTGTAGAATACCCTATGTTCTAAATTTGGCCTACTGCTTCCCTGATATGAATTTAGCTTGTTCTTTAGTCCTTGTATTTTCTATAAATGGTAGTTAAATCTAGAAGAATGATTAGATTCAGATTCAATTTTTAGACAAAAATATTTCATAGGTACTTTTTATTGCATCATACCATGAGACTTATAACATGTGATTGTCTCAATTTAAATGCTGCTAAAATAAATTAATGAGTTATTAGCCTGATTTCTTACTTATACAGTTGGTCATTAACCTCTCAACTACTTTAAACATCCAATTATCTTTTCATAGATTCATTATTTCATTAAAATTCGCAAAAATGATGTTTTTTCTAAATCTACTTTTCTTCCTCATTTATTAGCTTCAATCTTTCTGTGAATAAAAACTTTTTAAACTATTAAGTTATATTAAAATGTATCATGTACTAGAAAAGCAGCATAAGTGCTTCATTTTTTTCCTTTTTTAATTTTCAGACTTATGAGTTGGTTTCCTAGCAAGTCCCAATGTAATCAATGAGTTTCTTTTATTTTTTAAAATACCATCATGAACTCTTAGATTTGATTGTATTTTGATATGTTTCAGTTCAGAATTATTCTTTCTGATCCTCAAATTTTCCTATTTTAGACCAGTGGGAGTCCTTAAGAAGTTGGCTTCTGTGTCCTTTTGATATGATCTCATTAGTCTTAAATAACTTCCATGTCTCTGGCATGAGATATTCTAGGATCATCTTGTATATTTCCTGCTCCAAATCTGGAATCAGCTATTTCCCCTTTCTACCTTTTGCTCAGGAAATTATCTGATGCCTCCCACCTTCAACCCGGTAGACCTCAGAATGTTTTTGTTTCCATGACACGCCAATTCTGCACTTAGAGTTCTAAAGATGAATAATAAAGAACTTAATCCCTAATAGTTACCTCCTCTCTTTTCTATTTCTCTTCTAAGCCCATGGCTGAAAGGTTGTTAGTAAGAGCATTGAGGGGTGGTAAAAGTACTAAGATCGTTACCTTGAATGGGAAGAAGATAACAAAGATGCCGTCAACATTAGAAAAACTGCCTGGCCTGAAGACTCTAGACCTTCAGAATAACCTAATTCCCAAAGTGTGCCCAGAGATAAGCACCTTAACCCAGGTGAGGACTAGCACATCTTTTTGGATTGAGGATGGAAAATAGGAGGAAAGAAAAGAGTTGGGAGAACAATAAGGCTTCAATCTCTGGAGAATTAGCTTCCTGGAAATTTACTGTTGAGCATTGTGAGAGAGCATCAGGAGGTTTTCTCCCTTAGGGAATTGCATATGACAGGGGAAGAAGATGTTTCAACTTATTCAGGTACACTTGAGCTCACATCTAGAATCAGAGTATTAGGTCTCTGCCACACTCATCTTTCTGGAGGCTGTCATCTGAAAAATGTTGGGAGCCCGGATCTGCTTGTCTACCTTGGGGGTTCCATCTGGAAGTTGTTTTGAGGATCCCTGAGATGCTGTTCATCCTGGGGACTATCTTGAAGCTTTTGCATATGGAATGAAGACACAGTTTGGATTTAGGGAGGGAGTTCTTTTTCAATTTCCTAGAGTAGGCTGAACTTTGAAATGGAGTGTTGGCAGGGAATGGGAAGGAGGGGACATTCATTTACTCTGAAGTAGTCTCTAAAAGAGTATTAGTATGCTAAATAAAGAATGCCCTTCTTAAAGAGCAACAGTTGACATGAATAAATCCCAGATGCTTGTGTTAAACATCTCTGTCAAACAATGTGAAACACCAGCTACTGTCTTGAGATTGAGAGGAGGCAAGGGATATTAACTTTGCAGGTTTCTTTTTGCTCACTTGTAAACTGTCATCATCATGGAAAGAACCTATAACCAGCTAAGTCATTGCAGTTCATTAGTTTTGAATTCAGTATTACCCCCACCCCGATCCCCACCCCCACCCCCAAATCTCTATTTTCGTACTTTAACCTACCTCATTTTCTTTTTGATTTACAAAATTATTTGAGCTTGTAATCTGTGTGGCCAAATCTTTGCAAGAAATAAAGCAATACTAAAAGTACATTTGTAGTTACAGAATAACAAGGATTTGGACTTTTCTAATGGGACAGAGGAGTTTCTCTGCAGAAGAATTTAGGATTTGACCAAGGCCTGAGCCAGTTCTTACCCTCTGCTTGATTTTTTTCCCCAATGAATTAACACAGTGCATTAAGAAAAATCAAATACTATAAAAGGTTTATAATAAAAAACAACTATCTTCTGTCCCACTCACTCTCACTCTCAATCCTGTTCTCCATATACAACCACTTTTAACTCATCTTTTTTTCTTGATTTGTTTCATTTTAGATATCACTCTTCTTCATCTTCTAAGTATAATTATATTAATATGTTTATTTTCTTCACAGTTTTCCTTTAAATTTCATATTATTACACCTTCATCTCTTCTTTCATCAATTACAATCTCTTTTTCACTCCCTACTTTGTAAGATGGAAATGTTAGCATCAGTAATCCACCTTCAGCTCTCTTCCTGTCTTCTGCTTCATAAATTCTAAACTTAATTTTATAAGATATATAGCATTTATGTATTCAGTTATAACCACAATTAAATTTTTGTCTCTTGGAGAATTCTAAAATGTATGTTATGAAGTAAATATCATTCACATGGAGTCAATTAGTGTACTATGATTATATTTTCTTGTATAACCTTTTTTTCTTTGAGCGACTTTCTTCCAGGAGGCTTCATTCTTCTAACCCAATCTAAGCTGACTACTATTCAGGTTTTCTGCACACTGTCCACCAAGGACAATCTCTTTACAGCTCTCCTGAATTGGACCACTGTATCTCCTATTTTCCTCTTTCTTAATCTACTCTTTTATTTTGTAGGAATAAATCTCTAGATAACATCCTACTCTTGGTATATGGTAGTTAGTTAAATTTTGGAACTCTTATCTACCTGAAATGTGTATTCTTCCTTCATATTTAATAGTTGTTTAGTTAAAAATTACAGATTGTAAAATATATTTCCTCAGGAAGAAGGCTTGAGAATCTGATTACCATTATTTTGTTTTCTTGTGGCTTCCCTGTTATTTTCCTCCTCATCCTTCTACTATTTAGAAGAGACCCCAATTTTGACTTGCTTGTTTTCAGTTTTCTTAAATAGGGAGCTGGCTCAGCTCTGACCTTGCTTTTAAAGAAGAAATTATACCTTACTTTTAAAAAAGAATTTGATTGATTTGAAACTAGCCTTCTTGTGGACTACCCTTAAAGTGCTTTGCAAGGCAGATTCAGGCTAAAGATATTATCGTTTAGATGTTCATGAACTAGTAATTTTTCTCATATAGGGTTGTGAGATTTTGGAAAAAAAAATCTCTTTTCTCATTATAATGGGAGTTCCAAGAGCAGCTTGAATAAAATGTGCTAGAAATACTCAAAAGATGGATATAGATTATTTACACAGTTCAGAGATTGTACTGTGGTCTTAAAGATGCCACCGATTTCTAAAAAAAGAAGGTATTTATAAGAATTTGCTGAGTGAGCCATAATGCTGCCCTCCTTCATACACTTTTGTCGTACATATGCTACTTAGAAAAATGTAAAAATCTTGTTATTTTTCTCAGTAATTTGATTCAATTCTTTTTATTAAATAGTTTATGGAACCTGACAGTATATTATGTACTATGTAGGTGTAATGAATGGGAATATTTACTGTCCTTAAGGAATTTAAGGATTAATATTTCATATACTAACTCAAACATATTTATACTTGTCATAGGCCAATTATTTCATATACTAACTCAAACATATTTATACTTGTCATAGGCCAATACTATTCTAAAATAGTATCATCAAGCCATAATCTAGTTCAGAACGACTTCCAGGTAAAGTTGGACATTTCAGCTGGGTTTTTTACATTTAAAAAAGTTTTTATCCAAATTAGTCATGGATCTCATTTTAAAAATCAAATAAGTAATTGAAAGATGTAATAAATAGCATAACACTTTCTAGTAGTAATTAATAGCTACAAGCATAGCATAATTAAATGTTAGGAGAAATTGCCTGAATCAAGTTCTAGAAGTACATATGATACATTGAATCAAATATAGGGTTAGTGAGAATGAGCTGATGGCTAGAATAGAAAAGCATGTAGCCCATTAGAAGGAAGTAAATCAAACTGGGCAAATTGGAGCTGACTGAGCTCTATAGATACTTGATTTTGAAAAAAAAATGACATGGAGCCATATGAGTGTTCCACAGTTTGAACTATGTTTACAGATATGTCCCAAGCAGGCAGCATTCAACTAATGTTTACTGAGCAACTATTGCATTCCAGATACCATTCTTTGAATGCTAGATGAAACACATAGAGACCCTGTCATTGTGAAATTTCCACTTAATAGTAAAGATATAATATATATTTGAATCAATATAATAGAAAGCAGAAGATAATACCTGGTCATAGATTGTACACAGTGTCATGCATGTACAATAGGAGGATGGCTTTATGGAGAATGTGGTACATGACAGTGGGGAGTATTAAACACAGACATCTATTATAACAACTGGAAAACCAAGACATAGTGATAGTTTAATGGAAACAATCCTGAAACACATTATCACTGTAGAAACAAACAAAAATTTCCAGTAAAATTAACAAATTAACATAAAGTCTTTATTCTGTGGTCAATATTTCGTCTCCTGAAAATGTCATTCAAAAGTGGCTGTGAATTTAGAAATCTTTGAAAAAATGAGTTAGATATCATTAAGAAAACAAATAAGTTTAACATTTAAAAGCCAAATGGAAGTGTCTATATATATTTGAAGTACCTACTGCATTTCTAGTACCATGCACATCTAACATTTTGTGAAATAGTCTCCTGGGTCTAAAAGATTATAGCTAGTATTTTATAATATCTATTATTTGTCAGACACTTTATTATGCCAATCCTTAAAATAGCCTTTAGAAGTAAATGCTGCTATCCCCAATTTAAAAACAAAAAGGAGACTTAGGAATTAGAGTGAGTTGCCTGAGATCACTTACCTAGTACATTGCATAGCAGATAGTCCCCAAAGCCTATGCTTTGCCTTCTGCACAATACTGACTAATAAGTGTGTAAACCAATAGAACAAGAATATTTAAAATGAGAATTCCATGTGTTGCATACAAGATAATTCCATTATGTATATGTATGTGTGTGTATGAATGAATATATTATGTGCATTTATAAGCTTATATATAATCATTCTGAGCAACAGTAGACAGTGTAGTATAAAAGTTAACAGCAGACCATAGAGTGAAACTAAGCTATTTCACCATAAATCATAGCCTGGACCTCAGATCCCTTTTCTGGAAAGTTGGTGGTATTGTGAGGCAATGTATAAGGCTGCTTGGCACAGTGTTTGATACCTATACCTATTAAATTCTATTCAAATGTTAGTGTTATCATTAATAAATCATTTTCTTCTGATTTCTTGTCCTCTTCTCTCCTACTTATACAAAGATTGCTACACATGAAACCTAGATTTCATAATGCAAAAGCATCGATGGATGCAGAGATGCTTATCTCATATCCAAGACATAAGAGGAACCACACATATCTATTTCAAGGCAGGCCACAGATAGGTTATAACACAGAGATATGAGTAGGCCAATGCAATCAAATGAGTCTATTCAAATTTAGGAAGAATTTAGGGCAAGTGTGCAAAGATATGGAAAGGACTATGGGGAGGTTGAACATATTTAAAAAATATTGGGTGAGGAAATTCCTCATTGATTATTTGGGCAGCAGTTTATATATAATCTAGCAGGAGTGGATAGAGGGAATTTAAATGATGGCATACCTCATTCTTTGCATTCTTTGGCTATGTAATGCTATCTGTAATCAGGCAGTCATGATTACTATTCTTAAAGTAATTGCAATGGTATGTAGCTGAAAAGGTTGCATCTAAAAGGAAATTTGAGAATTTCCTTGACTGAATATAGGTGGAGAGAGAGAAGTTCTAGGCGATTCCAAAGTTGGCTACCATAAGATTACAAAAATGGTGGGTGCATTAACTTAAGTGTGGATGGGAAAAAAAGATTTGTCCATTGACATTGTCCAGTTTTAAACTTTGAATTTAGAATGTCAACATCACATTCACTTGAGATA